CTTCTCCAGCACCACAGCTCAAAGGCATCAATTCTCCTTCTATCCTCCTTGGTCATTGTCCAACTCTCTGATGCATTACAGGTGATTACGAAGACCATAGTCTGTATCAGACGCACCTTAGTCTCCAGAGAGACACCATTGCTCTTCAGCACTTTGGAGAGGTCCCTAACAGCAGACTTTCCCATGGCAATGCGCCTTTTAATTTCCTGGCTGCTGTTGCCAAGACTGTTGACTATGGAGCCAAGCAAACTAAAGCTGTGTACAATCTCAATCTCTTCACCATCCATCCTGATGCTGCCAATTGGTCCAGTGGTGAGAATCTTTGTCTTCTTGACATTGAGCCTCAATCCATATTGTAGGCTGCAGTCCTTGACACTCTGCAGCAGGTGCTTCAGGTCCTCTTCAGTTTCAGCAAGCAGGGTTGTGTCATCCGCATAACGCAGGTTGTTGATAAATCGTTCACCAATCTTGACCCCACATTTCTCCTCATAGAGCCCAGCCTCTCGGGTAATCTGTTCTGCATATAGGTTGAAAAGGAAGGAATAATATAATAAAGCCCTGGGGATATAGAAGATACTATTTTTCTGTTTCTATGAAGGTATAGGGTCGCTATGAGTCGCAAACGACTCGACGGCACATAACAATGACAACAACATGAAGATATCAAAATCTTCATTATTATCACTCAAGATCCATCCTCTCATCTTGTTGGGAAGTGTCATGTAGTTGGTTTTGATCCCATGTGAAGAATAGAACTGTCTTACAGAGTTTTCAAGGCTGTAATCATTATGGCTTCTCATTCTTCTCAGTGTCAGCCATAACCCAGAATCAAATGCCTTTGCATAGTCAATAAAGTATAAACATTCTTCTGGTGTTCTTTACTTTCAGCCAGGATCTATCTGACATCAGCCATTTTATTTCTGGTGCCACAGCCTCTTCTAAATCCTGCTTGAACTTCTGGCAGTTCCCTATTTATGTACTGTTCTAGCCATTTTTGAATGATCTTCAGCAGTATTTTGCTTGCATGTGATATTAATGATACTCAATAATTTCCATATTCAGTTGGATCACCTTTCTTGGGAATGGGAACAAATATGGAGCTTTTCCAATCTGCTGGACAGACAGCTGTCCTCCAAATGTCCTGGTATAGACTGATGAACGCATTCAGGACTCCATTTGTTAACTGAAACAAGTCAGTGGATATCCCATGAGTGGCTGGGGGCCTTATTTTTGCCAATGCTTTCAGTGCATCTTCTACTTCCTCCTTCATTACAATTGGTTCCCATTTATATGGTACTTCCTGAAAATTTTCAGTGTCAATGAGTTCTTTCTGGAGTTCCAGAGTACTTAATTATGCTTAAGCAGAACCTATACCTGGACCTGGAGGCTGCTGTGTGAACAGAGAAGGGGAACACTGCATGGTTTAAAATTGGGAGGTGAGTACATCAGGGTTGTATTATCTCTTCAAATCTCATCAATCTGTATGCTGAGCAAATTATATGAGAAGCTGGATTCTATGAAGAGGAATGTGGCATCAGGATTGGAGGGAGATTCATCAATAACCTGTGTTATGCAGATGACACGACCTTGCTTGCTTAAAGTGAGGAGGACTTGAAGCACTTGTTGCAGAAAATCAAGGAATGTGACCTTTGGTCTGAATTGCATCTCAGTATCAAGAATGAAAAGATTCTTACCACTGGATCGATAGGCAACATCATGTTAGATGGTGAGGAGATTTATCAATAGCTTCACCTTGCTTGGATCCACAATTAACACGTTTGGTACCAGCAGTCAGGAAATCAGGAGATGCATTGCACTGGGAAAATCTACGATTAGGGACCTTTCCAAATTATTGAGAAGTAGTGATATCAGTTTGAGGACTAAGGTGCATCTGAGTCAGGCCATAGTCTTTCTGATAATTTGCTATGCATCTGAGAGCTAGACAGTGAATAAGGATGACAGAAAAAGAATTGACACCTTTAAGCTGTTGTGTTGGAGAAGGGCACTGAACATCCCATGGATGGCCAAGAGAACAAACAGATATTCTCAGAGAGGGTGCAGCTGGAGTGCTCTTTGGAGGCAAGAATGATGAGGCTTTGCCTCATGTTCTCTGGGCATGTTGCTTATGAGGAGCTGTTCCTTGGAGAGAGGCATGATGCTGGGAAGGGTGAAGAGTCAGTGAAGGAGATGAAGACTCTCAACCAAGTGGATTGATATGGTGACTGCTGCAATGGGCTCTTGTGTGTCAGGAAGTGTGAGGATGGTGCAGGATAGAACAGGGTTCAGATCATTTGTTATAAGGTCACTATGAGTCATACTCGACTCAGCCAATGACAAGCACAACAATGACAATCTTTATAAAAGTAGACCAACAGGCCTTTTCTACTGTGGAACAGTTGAGTTTGAACCACCAACTTTTTAATTAGCAACTAAGTACTTTACCATGCTCTACTAGGTGCCTCTGCTCCCTATACTGATAAACATTCTCTTTTTATCACCTTATGTGATCCACTATTTTTATTATTAATCTCCTTCCACTAAAACATAAATTCTATGAAGCCAGGTGTCTTAATTTTGTTCATGGTATAGTGTCGTGATTGGCCAGAACAGCTCTGGACATCTAGTTATTGTTATAGTGAAGAGATTGAGATTGTTAATAGCTTTAGTTTGCTTGACTTCACAGTCAACACTCTTGGTACCAGCAGCTGGGAAATAAAAAGATGAATTGCATTGGGAAAGTCTATT